CATATGTAGGCAAAATTTCTTACACATACAATTAAAAAAATAAAAAGAGAATTCATTTGGCAAATACGTGAGAAGATGTTCAGCATGTACTTGTTCCTTAATCAGGGCAGGTTTGAGGGAATGCCTCAACCAATACAGTATGCTCAAAGTGATGCTATGTGTTTTTCAAAGCTAGATCATAATGCATGGACTTCTGCCTTGTTTTCTTGAAATGCTGTAATTTGAGAACCAGCTACCACACTGTCTTAGTTTGTTTCTTCATTGCTGTGACAAAACACTCTGACCAATACCAACTTGGGGAGGAAAGGGTTTATCTTACATCTCCTGGGAGCCCAAGTGCAGTCACCACCAGGGGCGGCCACTCCTCCGTTCTCATGGGTGCCGCTCCTTTGTTCTCACGGGCGTTGAGGCTGCTCTTCTGCCTGCCCTGGGCTGAGGCCACTCTTCTGCTCACCTGGTGCTGAGGCAGCTCTTCTGCTTTCCCTGTGCTGCCTCCTGTTGTCACCGCTTCTGCCCAGTCCCAGACCCCAGGGCTGGTGAGGAAACTGTGTCAGCGGAGCCGCATTCAGACACAGGAGACCAGGTTCAGTGACACAGGTCTGCTTTATTGCAGGAAGGCACAAGCTTATATAGGGGTAATGGTCCAATCACAGCATAGCAAGTAGGATACCTTATTAGCACATCAGGTTTAGCATTCTATCACAGTACAGCAAGTAGGATACCTTATTAACCTAACAGGTTTAGCGTCCTATTAGCATAACAGACTTAACGTCCTATCACAAAATAGCAGGTAGGATGCCTCCTTAGCATACTGGGCTTCAGATTACAGAGCCTGGATTCCTGGAAACCATGTGACTAGGAACCACGTGACCCAGGCTAAGTGTTGCAATTTTGGATTCCAAGGGTGGTGATTAGGGAGTGGCGAGCTCTGGGCATCAGTCTCATGATCTGCCAAAGGGAGCAAACATCACAAGGCATTCCTTGTGGCTCCAGTGGTTGGGCTGTTGCCTCGGGCCTGCTGTATGGCTGTCAATAAGACTTTCACCCTAGGCTCAAGCCTGTCTCCCACACCCAAGGTAGGAACTCAAGGCAGGAGCCCAGTGGCAGGAGTTGGAGCATGGGCCATGGAGGAATGCTGCTTACTGGCTTGCTCCCCTGGCCCCTGCTCAGCCTGCTTTCTTATGCAACACAGGCCCACCTGCCCAGGGATGGCACCACCCACAGTGGGCTGGGCCCTCCCATATCACTCAATAATCAAGAAGATGCCCCTCAGACATGGCCACAGGCCAGTCCAATAGAGGCAATTCCCCAATTGAGGCTCCCTCAAGCCAGGTGTGTCAAGTTCACACAAAAGCTATCCAGCACACATACTGTGAAGAAGCCTAAAGGACCCAGCAAAAGCCTTGTGTGGGAAGAAAGTGAGGCCCAGGATCCACAGCCTTGAGTGAGCTACCAATCTAAGATAGCACCAATGGCCCAGTCACAGGAGCACCTACCCTGACAGTGGATTCCCAGTCTCCAGTGGCCTTAAGCTACCACAGGTGGTGTACATAGAATAAACCCATCTAAGCTGAGTGCTGTCCAAGCTACAGATTTTTTAAAATTTTTATTATTTTTTAAGTTTGGGTTTATTTATTTATTTATTTATTTTGGATTTTACTTTTATTTTTATTGTTTT